TTCATATTCATATTTATGAAAACGAACACCCCCATCTCTGATCATATTTCTTCCTAAAATCTCTAAACTCGTGAAGCTTCTACTAGCCGACCATTTTTTCAAAAAAGAATTAAGTCTCTGATGGAATTACAATCGAATAGCTGTAGATTACCGAATATCGTTCAAGGTTACCGAATATTCCATTTATCTTTCGATTAGTCTTCCACTTGTCGAGTCTTCTGCCACCTTTATTATTAATTCTTTTTATTTCCCCCCGTGACCTTGTTGAATAAAATTCTACGGACAATGTACATGAATTCGTTCGAAACTAAATCGATAAGACGGTAACGTCGAAAGATGTTCGATTCTTCTATTCAACGATGTCACAGCGTCACCGCCACACCTTGCCATCTTTCACACGTTTCGCCGAGGTGCAAACTTTCCAGTCGCTCACCTTGCAAATCGTGGCAATCCTCCGTTAGTTGCGTGTTTATCCAGAAAGGCGCAAAGATCGTAGGAATTACTCGGTCGGAGCATTTTATTGGCCTTTCATCGGGCGAGCACTTGCACAACGAGTATCGTGAGAACGTCCTGTTTTGCAGGTGGAGCTGTTGCCCTCGAAGAGAGCCGGCGAGGTAAAGGTCAACATGCGATCTTTCACGCCGAGGATCATCGAGAACGGGACGATCGACCACGATGAGAGGAGGAACAAGATGTCGGACACGAAACCGAGCATACAATCCTATCACCTCAAGCAGAAGAGGATAGGTCCTGGTTACTCGATGAACGATCTGGACAAGCTGACCGTTGACAGGCATCTGCCGAATCTCTCGATCGAGAGCCTGAAGAGCATCCTGACCAATTCGGGCGTCAGCTACATGGACAACGGGGACATCTGCAGGCACGACATCGGCGGCTCCGCGCCCGACTTCAAGAAGATCTTTGTCACAGAGTTCATTTGAGCCCGCGTGCAAAGATACTTTTGGAAATTCACGCGTATCCAAAAACACTTTTCGAGACGAGAACTTTCATTAGTTCCGAGTCTGTACAGACGCGCGTCGATCAATTTCTTGGTTGTACATTCAAGCTAATTGGATTCGGAAGGCTGTACATACAAAGCGTTTATGTAAAGTAAGAGAGCATCTTATGGTAGAAGTTGATTAAAAATGAGGACTCACCTTGTAAAAACATTGGTCGGCCGAAGGGAAAAGCGGCCGGATTATTGTAACTACTCGTTGGAAGGAATTATTTAACAAGATTTGTAGAAGTTGTATGCAACAACGTCGAAAAGACTGTAAAAGTGTTCTTGTAAATTAAAGAAGCTTCTTCTATTAGAAAAGTTAGGATTAACCCTGTCGGAAAGGAGGTGAGCCGAATAAACAAGCAGCAGTCTGTACAAATTGTTCTTGTAAATTAACAAACGTTTCTTCTCTTAAACAAGAAACAAATGAACGAACCGTTGGATCTATCTTTGCACGGAATAGTCTGTCGAATTTAGTAGAATGATTATATTATAGAAGGTCGTTGTTACAAGTGCTCTTGCAGACTTAGGAAGCCTTTTCTATAAAAAAAAGTTAAGCATATATACTAAAGAAATATTTATCAGTCGAAAGAAAGGAATCATCTTTTATATCAACGATTAGGCAGTGGAGCTCAACGAGACTTATAGATTAGAATGTTTATATTATACAAGGACGTTGTTACAAGTGCTCTTGCAGACTTAGAATGCCTTTTCGATCAAAAAAGTTTGGCATATATCCTAAAAAAATATCTATCAGTTGAAAGAAAGGAATCATCATTTATATCTATGGTCAGACAATGGAGCTCAACGAGACTTATTTTGCGTGTACCAACGATGGAGAGACTGTACAAGGTGTTCTTGCAAATTAAAGAAGCTTCATCTATTAGAAAAGTAAAGCTTGACTCTGTGAGAATATCGATCGGTTAAGAGAAGAATCAAACAAACTACGTAGCGGATAGACGGTTAAGCAAACTACTTTCACATGATTAGCTGACTTTTGGTATACTATAATAGCCACGGAGAGACTGTACAAAGTGTTCTTATAAATTAAGAAAGCTTCTTTTGGGAAGGCAGGGATAGATCCTTCAGAGAAATTGCACGCTAATCCCCTGCAGTTCCTCTATGGCAGCGATCTAGAAAATTATATAACTGCCACGCGGAAGTCGAATTGGAAAGTTCGCGACATCAACTGGTCGAGTCGAAGAAACCATTAATTAATTTAGTTGTCAGTTTCTTTCCTATTTCTGGCGCTCGCCCGATGGGAATCGTTTCTTCGAGGCTCGCGTTAATTCGATGAAAACGATAATTACGCTGCGGATGTTTGTGCAAGAAATGAGCAGAAAATAGTATCTCGCATTAGTCTTTACAAATTAACAATGTTTATCCGTAAGTGTTCATTCGTATCTAAATAAAGAACATCGCGATAGCGGAGATGTTCAGCGAGTTTATTTTGTACGAACTATAGACGGAATCTGTGTTAACCGAAAATTTGTATTCTGTTTACAATTGCGAAGTCGTCAAATCTATATATAACGTAAATTCATGTAATAATTTTCTGTAAAAAAATATGCATGCACGATCCGTAGAATGCAGGAAACACAGCGAAATTATGCGTTGTAATTCGTCGCACGTCAAGTTACGCATCGGATGAACGAATCGAAGCGACTTTATTTGTACCACCGATTCCATGATTAAATACAACGATGCGTTGCGATGTGACATCCGCCAATAAATCACAGCATCCCGGCGCCAATGTACCAAGGATCGAAACTGCACCGATTGACAATGCGTTACGGTAGACCCGACCGTGTTTCTGATTTCTCCACGAATTCCTTTTCTCGAAATACGAGAATTCAAAGTAAATTTCTCCAAGATTCTTAGACGGTGGAAATTAGTTTTGAATTGTTTATCACACACCGAACAAATTCGTTATTTGAAAGATATTGTAATTTCTCGGAAAAGGAGAAATTAACATTATAAACAGAAAAATTCAAAAACATCGATAAAGAATACACGATTAATACACGCGTAGCTTTTCGTACAAGTTGATGAAGTATAAATTGATAGAATTATTTACGGTATTTCTTATTTGAAAGCAAAAGGAGCCTACAATATGCGTGAAGGTATTATAACGCTGTATGGTAGCGATATACAGTTTGCGTCCACTATATTTAAACATCGTGAGAAACGTTTTTTTTTTCAAAGTATGATTTAGAAAAGAGCGCCTAAATCGACAGATCTATCAGGGAATTGCTAACTATAGCGCTATCCCTGTTTACAGGTGAATAATAATTTTTTTCTCGAGAAAGAAAATTCAAGGAGAGACTCTAAACGCAACCAAGTCTAAACAGGCATGCGAATACCTGTAAAATATTTGTAAAGTATGTCCTCGTTTTCGTGATCCCCTTTTTACTCGTCTTGTTATGTAAACAAGTCTTCGGAAAAACTCACGTCCACCAGATTATCGTATGGAGATCGTTTTGTACATACCTTGTATATTTTTATGGTAATATTTAATTGAACAAATACATGTATACGTGGCAACGCGTGAAACTCAATTAATCCTTCATGACTATAAAATAAGGTTGACCGTCGTTTATAATCGAGTTATATATAAAATCGATAATAGCAATGTGTCATTTGATTCCTGAAGAAGATGGCTACAATGCTGCCGAAACTAAGGAGTATCTTATTCAAAGGATAGGTTAGTATCAACCACGAAGAACCAAGAAGGCCTCAATCTTTCAAATCAAATAATCATTATTATTCAATCAAATATCTTATTCGTTTTATTTTAACGCCTTCGATTGTAAGTTTTCGACCATCCATAAGATTAATACCATCGTTTAATATCCAAAGGAATCATAAAAATAAATCCTCCTGCGTTCTCTGAAAAAATTTATTTCTATTGTTTTCATCTTAAAATATAAATGTCTATGTTACTTGTCATATTCGCAACAAATTCTTGTAACAAATATAATCCGAGCAAGCATAAATTCATTTTAACTGAACGTTTCGACCGATATTTTCAGCTCTCTTTGGTACAATAACGTGTTAATTTATTCCTAAAGAATAGAAGTAATTAAATGTGTAGAGAAATGACTTGCAGTCGACGTTAATCGGTTAAAATGCGACGCGACAATAAAATAAGCATAAGAATTTAATCGTAGATTCATAAAATATTTACGATGCACATTTTGTTTACAAATTAACGTAACTCTAAAGTATCAAAGAGGAGCGAAATTAATTTATTCGAAAACTACCTTTGCTCGATCCTTATATTAATTGTTTCTTCTTGAAATAAAAAATAATCGTCGCCTAATACTAAGTAACGAATCTTTCTCGTTACAGAATTTCGATCGGCCTTGGTCGGAAGCAATTATTTTCAGTTAATTAGAATCACGTACCAGGGCGATCGTAAAATTTCCTCGAGAACTCAACGGACTATAACTATTACGCATTACGTGTACAGAGTATCGGTATTCCTTGTTTTCCTCCGGCAGACACGAGATTCACGCATCAATCGACACGGGCTCGATGCAGAAGAGATAACGCGCACGCCCTCCGATAGTCCCTAATCGTAGTTTAATCATCTAATTAAATTGTACACCGTGTTTTATTACACTGGCGTTGACTAGCAATACACGGTTTGGCATCGTTAATCGTATCTTTAATTACAGTAGCTCGTCAGTGGCGTAGAAATGAATTAAAAATAAAAACAATTACGAGGTTGTTCGTTACGCAACAGTACCTACGAGCGATGGAATGCTCTCAATTCGACAAAAACGCGGTGGATCGCTGATACAATGTACAATGAGAACAGTTACTCGCTAAAATTCGAATTTATTTGTAGATCGATTCGATTGTATCGGTAATTCTTAATCTAAATTTAAAAGAAGCTTCTTAGTATTTTTGGACGTATGGCACAATTTGAAGAGGAAAAGATAATGGCACGAATCTTTGTTCAGAACTGAAAAGATATCGCACCGAAATATACTTAGTAGGTTACTATAACATAACATAATTTCAGCCAAATAGAAAATGGTCGGGTCCAGAAGTGATCGAAATGGCTTTCAATGTTGCAATGGCCCATATATAAATGTATTTCGTACCTATACATGTATATTTATGTATGCTATATATTATGTATATTATTATATGTATATTTCTTTTCAAGATGACTATTGTGTATATAAATTAGATTTTCAATTTTTGTTCTCCAGGTCTCGATTTATCCGAGCTGTTTCGGTCCCACTGTAATTATCCACGCCATATTTCCTTTGCCAATGAGTGAAATGAATTCACCGAGCAAAGACCCGCACAAGAAGCTGATCAAAATTCTTTTCCATAAAAAACTTCGCTTTCCGTGTATTTTTTACTTTGTTCGGTTCGCTGTATTCTATCTACGGATTGCATTTAGCATCTTATAATAATTCGTTCGGTATTTTTTTCCGAGTATATAATAAATTTCATACTTCCTTATCACTCGTAAACGCGATCATTTTTAACCTTCGATATTTCTCTCGCCATCCGTCGATGGTTCCAGCGGCGATCGAAAGTTAATCTTATAATAATAATTAATACCGTGTTGGTAATTAAACGGTGAACCGAGACTTAACATATTACTACCGTCTTCGGGTAAAAAATTTGTCGGGCGGCAGTAAAAGAGTTAAGCTTAAGCTAATATTGAATACTTGGTAATTCATTAATTATGTTGGTAATGAAATAGTAAGCGTTCTTACGCCATCGTCATTGCAAAAATAGGACTCTCTGTTGTTCGCTTTGGTAAAGAATTGCAAAGTTGCCGATCGGGTTCGATCGGTGAGATCAGTGACTCGCGTAGACAAGGTCGCTGCCACGAAAGATTGCTTCGATCATCGACTTCCGGTTGAACTTTCCGCCCCTGGTCTCGACGATCGCCACTAGTTGCTGATATCGCTTCCAAGCGGTCACCGAGGCCGCTTCCCCTTCCGGTGCGTTCTTAATCTTCTGATACACGTCCGTGCTCCTGACCGCAGCTTCCGAAGTCTGGCAGACGCTTTCCGTATCTGGTATCATCTGTAATTGGACGCAATACCACGCTTACAGTCCAGTCGAAAACAGACAAATTCCAAAACGATCTTATATTACTTTACTTCTTACGATTACTTTTTTTTAATTCGTATATATATATATAGAAGGAAGTATACTCCCTTGGTATTGTTTGTGTTCTCTCATTAACCTGAATATCGATAATGTAACTTGCATGTATTCAGAAGAGTATTATAACAACAGAGTTTAGTTGAATGATTGTGCACATTAGATCAACTAACAATAAGTATTAATAGTTTATTTAACTCTGAAAGAGGGAACGGTAAATAATTGGCCTTGAACGTCGTTTCTTTGTTTTACAGGTAAGAAGTGTAAATAATGTAAATAGTAAATTTTGTACGATAAATCAATGTAATCTTTTTTTTTCTTTTTTTATTGTGTTTTTATAATTACATCCACCTCACAGGGTTATTAGCAACTACATGAATTTCTGGTACGTCTAATGTAATTTTTGTTTTACAGAGAAACCTGTGTGTTTTTATTTACTATAAATTCCTCAAGAATTATAATAATATTAAATCATTATATTTGTCCCACATATAAATGGATTCTGTCAAATTACTATTTTAAAATTCCACAGTGCAGGTTCATCGGAATTGCGACTAATTCTTCTCGACGTTAAACTGTAATTTGTTTTAATAATTCACATACGTATATTCAAATTCAACACCTTTAACTTTTTGAAGTTAGGTGGGTTAAAAACTATCTCACCTTTAGCTAAGCTTTACTATTTTATTTAAATTTTTTTATTCGTGTGGCAATACTATGAACTAACGCCAAAAGAACAATAAGTGGAATTAGAAATGTGTACGAGTCAAAACGCGTTAGCATGTTGTTGATACTGTTATTCCGTGCAACTTGAATTTTCTTTTTCTTTTATAATCATGTGCCTCAAAGAGTTAACCCATTCCCTGCCAGGCAAATATAAAGCGTCCTGCCTTGGGTACCAAGATTTAATACAGATGTGTAATCTAGGTTACTATTTTGATAATAAAAAGTGATATTAAATTTGTTGTTTTATAAAGAAAATTTACAATCTGCTTCTGTAATAATTCGTGACTCAAACGGCTATAAACTTACCCGTTGAGTAATTTGAGTTACGAAACGTCTCGTAGTTGCCAGTGAATGGGTTAATATCATTTCGTTCGTAAAAGTGATCTCTAGTATACAGTCAATGTAGGAAGTATTCGTACAGCAACCAATTTAAAATAAAATTAATAAGAAAAAAATAAGAGGCTAACGTTGAAAATAATAAACTTTAATTTACGCAAATTCTACTCTAAAAATATGTAGGAATGTTGGTTAATTATTTCTTCCCCCAAAAATTTATTAATAAAATAAGTATATGAAGCTCTATTTTGAATCGGTTCCTATACGAATACTTATTACAGTGACTGTATAAAGTAGTTGCAAAATTCTTAAAGCGTATAATTTGAGGGCGAAGCTTGTTTCGCATGATTGATAGGATAATCCCTTCCAGGAAAATCACTGTGGTGAATTAAATTGAACATTCCGTGAACGAATGCATCATAGAAAAATATTTCTGGTACTCCACGATGAAAGTACTTACGTACGAATACTTATTACAGTGACTGTATAAAGTAGTTGCAAAATTCTTAAAGCGTATAATTTGAGGGTGAAGCTTGTTTCGCATGATTGATAGGATAATCCCTTCCAGGAAAATTACTGTGGTAAATTAAATTGAACATTCCGTGAACGAATGCATCATAGAAAAATACCTCTGGTACTCCACGATAAAGTACTTACACAGTATCGTAAAATTCTCGAGGCGAACGATTCGATTTCGAAAGTCGACCGCTCTTCGCGAGAATACGGTTAATTCCGAAACAAATCTTAATCAGCCTTTCGAATTTTGTTCATTTAGTGGACTAATTGGTGGAAATTCCCCGGCCAGGTGTAATTAGTTGGACACGATACGATGGAGGAGCCCGTGGTTTAATCACGGCCCCCGATCTCGAACCGTTTCCTCGGGTTGACCGATGTTTGTAGGACGCCGTCTATACACATGTAACACAAGCCTAAAGCCAGTCCCCGAAATCAATACTCGGCATTACACTGTTACTAAGGATTCCCATTTCCCATCCCTCGTTCGCCAGATTCAACCCCTGTGTCAGCCGCGGCATCGGAGTTGAGGTTCAATGGCTACAATACGTAACTTCGCCACCTTATACTTTAAAGGGTTAGTCGCATCCATGAAAATGAAAACGGACACTTTCATGTGTGTGTGTGTGTGTTTTTTAGGTATTAAATAATAATTGTTATGAATGAAATGTAAATATATTACAAAGTATGTCTTAAAGAATTATAAAAGAATTTTTGTTTTAAAGAAAGATTGATTCATTTCGTTATAACAGGTGATGGTGTGAGTGGCCATTTTGTTTGCGGTGAGTAAGATTTCTCCAAACTGGTATACCTGAAAACAAAAATAAAGGTAGATTTGGAGAATATATTGGACTAACGAACGTCCCTGATCGAAGGATTTTGGAAAAAATTAATTTGAACCAAGATGACGTACATTTGAAGTTGAAGTTCAATTTTCCTTATAAAATTAAGTGATTAAATAGAGAATAAAAAGAAAAGTATATGAGAAAATAAAAAATCCTTCGATCAGGGACCCGTTAGTCTAATATATTTTCTAAATCTACCTTTATTTTTGTTTTCAGGTACACCAGTTTAAAGAAATCTTGCTCACCGGAAATCAAGTGGCCCACCCACGCCATCGCCTGTTATAACGAAATGAATCAATCTTTCTTTAAAACAAAAATTCTTTTATAGTTCTTTAAGACATACTTTCTAATATATTTACATTCCATTAATAAAAACAATTATACTAATACCTTAAAGAAAACACACAAGAAAGTGTCCGTTTTCATTTACCTAACTGCGACTAACCCCTTAACGAAGTCACCGAAAACATAGCTTTCCATTACATTTGCTAATGACACGTTTTATTTCTGATTCATTTTATTCGGTTGTCTGGAAAGTTCATGGTGATTTTTAGTAGGCTATAGAGGTCTGAATATATCGGAATGGTTGGAAACGGATAACATGAGTACATCCCTTAAAAGGTGGAAAAGTTGTGGAACAAAATGGTACATATACAGGATGTCCCAAAACTCGGGGAGGAGCCGGAAATGGGGGGTAGCTGAGACGATTCTGAACAACAATTTCCTTTGCAAAAATGTCGGTTGGGGCTTCGTTAAGGAGATATTAAGCGAAAACCCCGACCAATCAGAGCGCGCGTAGACCGTTGGAGCGGCCGCTGTAGCGAAGGCTACGCGCTAGGTCGATGCTTCGATGCACGTCGAGTCGTTTGTTCGCGTGCAAGCGCGGCCACCAGCGCGTAGCCTACGCTACCGCGGCCGCTCCAACGGTCTACGCGCGCTCTGATTGGTCGGGGTTTTCGCTTAATATCTCCTTAACGAAGCCCCATCCGACATTTTTGCAAAGGAAATTGTTGTTCAGAATCGTCTCAGCTACCCCCCATTTCCGGCTCCTCCCCGACTTTTGGGACACCCTGTATAATTCAATAAATATACAGGGTGAGGCACCTAAGACGGGTCACCTGAATTACTTAGCTGCTAGTGGTGATAGGAAAAATTGCGTCAGACCAAAATTATTTGGTTACGAGGGGCTGGTCATCCTATGTTCCTAGTTTTTTGATAGGTAGAGGCATCAAGGAGATATGAAGATCATCTCCGTTTTTTTTAAATGGAATTCTACTAAATATTTTCGACTATTTGGTATTTATTACAATCTGTTACAGAAAAAATAACAATATTCAATATATCTGTCTTTGAAAAATTTAACATGAAAATATTTCACCCACCGGTTTATATATTTTTGTATAACTTGATATAATTACTAACGATCTTTTCATTAATCTTTACATTAATCTATTATTACATGAATATCTTAGAATCTATTACTATTGTCTAATGGCTTAAATCTTTGCAGAATATAATATAAGATTAGTATGGATCTTTGTTGTGGTGGCTGAGAGCAGACATACGACCGCAAAGGATTAAAAGGCACGATTTTGATTTTGATTTAACTTTCTAGAGAATGATGATACCATTAACAGACGCAAGACATTTTTTTAGTAGCGATGATTCAGTTTAAAGAAGTGACAAGAATCATCAAAGTATTATTATTTAATATTCATTTTATAAAAAATATGTAGTATGTAACAGCATTCGTAAATTAATAATTTCTCGTTGTAAAATTTAAATGTAGGATTTGAATGTGAATTCAGGCCCCGCAAAATTTTTGAACCCGGCCTCGCAAAAGGTTACATCGGTCCTGTCGCCACGTGAACATTTTCTTCCAAGATTGTAAGTTCTACCGGACGGAAGAACCGTAATTACTTGGAACAAAGGTGAATGGAACGAAAGAACGACAGTTTGTTTGGTAGAATTGTATTTTATGAAAGGAGTTTCGTAGATGAGTTATACGTCCCATGGAACCGTCTGTTTCACGCTGAAAAATATTGGTCGAGTTTCTTTTTGCTCTACGAGGGAACGATAATTCTGACGAGGCCGTAATACGGAAAGTGCTAGTATATGCTTTTATGGCTGGAAAGAAGTTCGGTTACCGTCTTCTATTTATGTTGGAGAAGTTTCAACACGGACTGGAAGTTTCAAAGACTTCGAACTTTGACGGCGCTTTAACTTTTTCCGTTTTCGTTCCGAGCTGCGATAAACATTTATCTTGTTCGAAAATTCACAGACACGAACGCGTTAGATTGGCCGGCACGAAAACTTGTATACGAGAAGTTCGCTAGCGATTGTTCGGAATACCGTGGAAAATGGGAATGGAACATCGATTTCATTGCCTTCTCCAACGTCTACAAGTTTATTATGCTACGAACAACTTTTCATCGAGTCTTTTACGAATATCGAGGATACGATACATCTATAACGCATATCGAGATGCGATAGGAACGTTGTTTAAAGATTTGTCCAATTATACCGCGAGTACGTAGAATTTTATTTCAAGCACGAATTATACAAACTATTTATTCGTTATTACTGGACTGCGGATCTTTATGCATTTATAGGAAATTTGAATGTGCAAGAAACTACAAAATGCGAGCAATATGCAAGAATATACAAAATATTGAAAGTAAACTTCATGATACAATATTTGCAGAATAAAATAAATTCCTATTTAGGTTCAATTTTTGTAGGAACGTCCGCGAAGATTTTATTTTGCATAAAGATCCGCAGTCTAGTTATTACGATACTTCTAAAACAATTTCAACGCTATTGTATGCAATATCGCTTATGTAATAGTAACTAACAAGTTCAATCCATAATGTGCTAACGAATTAAACGCTATTAAACGTCGAGGCCAAAAAAGTAAGTCCGAAACTGTTAACGTATAATAATGAATCTTTAAAAAACAAATAATTATACCAAAACAACAGACGAAGATAAATTTCAAAGTTTACTTTACTCCAATGTTAAATATTTAATGCTAATTATGCAGTTTCAAACGTGTTATGTAGCGTTGAATATTAACATCGAGTAATAATTAAGCAAGTTAAATATTAACACTGAAACATCGAATTGGAATATCGAATGTTAATCGAGTTTTAAAGTTTAATTCGCTAATCATTAATGAATAGTTTCGAACTGTATATCGAAACGGAACAATCTCAGCGAAACATCTCGCGGAATAATTAAATGAAATCTTAAAGTTCGACTCGTGGAATGTTAATCGGAAATTTCGAGAGAAATGTTGAGGCAGGAAGTCTTTCTTAAACGAGATACTGAACCGAAAGAATGGCAATTGAACTGCAAAGTTGTAGCTCATGGAACGAAAGGTACAGAATTCATAACTGAATCATAAAGTGTGGAAATATTATTATACCTGAAACTTCGTTGTAACCTGTACTATACGAAACTTAAATAAAATAGTCGAATCGTTGCAGACCTAATCTAGACCTAACGAAACAACATTGAATTGTGAATTTAAGTTGGTGGAATGTGGGTTAAATGGGTTCGCGAAAATTCATAGGGAAACTATTATTTAGGAACTTGTATTGCGACCGTTTTTACAATAGGGTATAACGAACGGTAGCGTCACGCGACTCTCAGCTTTTGTCTATTGGAACAGAAGACTCCATGTCGCTATGTCGTAACACTTGGCACGATGAACCATAAGTATGTATCTAGATGTATATATTACATATTCACAGTTCGACATTACTCAAACTGGCATGGTAAAATACGTTGTACGTACTAGACTGTTTATACACCTCGAAAGCTTTGTTTTTTTATTCGCGCTATATTCGATCAAAGATGGGCAAAACCCTATGGTTCGAATAAATCTGAAGTTTGCCGATGTGCTTCTCTCGTTTCCTTCTGTGGAAAACGTTCAAAAGAGGAAACAAGACAAATATATCATCAAACTTCAGATTAATTCGAAGCCTAGCGTTTTGCCCATCACTGTATTCGATTATATTAGCCCATTAGCTGCCACGATCCCCATTTGGGAATTTTGTAATTTTATGTACATCACTCGATCCCAGAGATATTGTATTTGGTACGCTTCACAGTTTAGTTTGATTCTATATACAGGGTGTCCCATGTTTTTTTCCGACCAAACTTTGCCAGCGTGTTCAACACTCAAAAGTAAGAAAAAAATGTTATATGAACATACGCTCTTGAATATTTTATTAAAGAGTTATAATTAATAATACAAAATGATAATGAACTGGTATTTCGTCGACACAGCGTACGAACGTATTATGAATTTATTTATTTGTGTTTACGTAAACTCTTATATTTATTTGCTGAAGTAGTTAATATCGACATTTTTTATTAACGTTTTATTAACGAGTTAAAATTCCCAAATGACGTCCGTTATTACGAATAGAATATTGGTATTTAAGAAAAATTGACCTTATCGTATTATTAATTTCTTCTTCATTTTCTCTAATCGTAGCAAATGCGTCTGTAATCCTCTGAACTGACTGTACTTCAGGAAGTAAAGATAGGAGTTCATGTAAACATAAATAGAAACATTTTGTATTATTAGTTATAACTCCTTAATAAAACATTTAAGGTCATATGTTCATATAACGTTTTTTTTCTTACTTTTACGTGTAGAACACGCTGGCAAAGTTTGGCCGAAAAAACTGGGACACCCTGTATATCAGTCAATATTGTGCGTAGTAAAAACTGTATATTCTGTGCTTCATTTCATTTCAACAAGCGAACACGTTTGAAATTCGTCTGGCAGTTGAACGGAACCGGAACGGAAATTTACCAGTTAATGTATCTTTCCAAAGTATTTATCAGTGCATCTTTCCAAAGTAATTAATTTATCAGTGTATGTTTCGAAAGTATTATTGAATTGGCAATAGCATTTGTTCGTGTAGCTTGTGTTTATCGCTTTATATCGTAATATAGATGTAAATATTAGGCATACTTTGGGAAGAGAACTTTATTTTAAACGACTAACAAAGATGAAAATATTGATTCTAATTTCAATAGTCGACTAACAGAGGTGGGCAACATTTTATTCGAATAAATGATATTAATGGATAGCAATTTATTCGAATCGATTATTTAAATTCATATTTGTCCCGTGTGAAATTTTTTATTCTGTTATTCATATTTTAAAGTACAATCTTTCATGTTTGTCCAACCGCAACACCTTCGCAAAAATATCAACTGTTTCAAGATCCATTGAAGAGTTTGTAGAAACAACATGGTTATGTTTATCGTTTTATATCGTAATATAGATGTAAATATTAGGCATACTTCGGGAGGAGAACTTTACTTTAAACGACTAACAAAGATGAAAAGATTGATTCCAATTTCAATAGTCGACTAACAGAGGTGGCCACCATTTTATTCGAATAAATGATATTAATGGATAGCAATTTATTCGGATCGATTATTAACTTCCCGATTTATTTAAATTTGTACTTGTCCCGTGTTAAACTTTATATTCTGTAATTCTTATTTTAAAGTACAATCTTTATACATGTTTGTCCAACCGCAACACCTTCGCAAAAATATCAACTGTTTCAAGATCCATTGAAGAGTTTGTAGAAACAACGTGCAAAGAAAGAATTAACTCACCTCGATCGATGGCGTCCTTTTCTCAGTTTTCTTCGCTCCTCCAGATCGTTCCCCGATCCTGATCCAATTAACCAACGCGTTAAGGCGGTTTCTCACGGTGGTGGTTTGGCTTTGGAACGTATCGGGGAAATCGGAGCTGGAACGATGGAACGCCGCGAAAGCGGATTCGGAGCACAGCACGGTCCAAGAGTAACTGAACTGAAGCGAACAAGGCCAACAAACGGCGACCATCAGCTGGTTTCCTCGATTACTCTGCCCCCCACTGCCGCTAGGCCAGGGACCCACATGTGCCGACCATATGGGGGGAAAAACGTTAGCGGAGACCTCGGTATATAGCTCGGTAGACAACCAGGGAACCCACCACTTTCGTTCTGCACCCTCGTGACCCCCGTGAGTCTCTCTCCCGTCGAGGGTTCGCTTCCGGTCACTGATCGCGTGCCAACAATTTTTAAAGCTTCAACGATTCGCTTCTCTCGCGTGTTACACGTTGCACGACCCCCACTCGCGCTTATCTATCTACAATGATACACGTTGTTTTTTGTGGAACAATGTACTTATTCCAATTGGTCGATTTTTTATAAATACGTCACGGCTTGAACGACTATTCGATTAAATATTATCCCTCCATGGACCCGTACAACTTTCAGGTCACATGCTAATTATCGATATCTTACCAAATAATTAAAATTTTGATCAAGAAATCATAGTGTCTCTAAGACAATCAATACTAATATTGATGACGGGTGGCAATGCCATCATCCCGAGATAACAAAACAAATACCGTGTGAGTTTTCTGCAGTAAAAGTAAACGAAACCTTTTGTTCCAATAATTATTTCACCAAATAATTAAAATTTTTTTTCATCAGATCATAATGTCTCCGAGACAACCAATACCAATATTGATGACGGGTAGCAATGCCATCAACCTGATATAACAAAGCAAATATCGTGCGAGTTGTTTGCAGTAAAAGTAAACGAAACCATTTGTTAAAAATTAATATTACTTGTCGTTCTCTAAAAAAAAAGTGTACATAATAGCCCTGGGTTTGTATATCAATAACAACTCTTTTGTTTCCCATTCAATGATCATTTCGTTACTATTTTTATATGATACACTTTTGTAAGTTTGAATTACAGTGGGCTATTATGGCAGAGTTCGATATATTTAAGATAAAGCTGCTCCTTTCTCCTGATTTTAGATTTATGTATCATATACCCAAAATATGACTACAAAATCAGATAAAAATAAAAGAGGAATTAGAATTAGACGCATTAGCTGTAATAGATCAGAAGACTCGTTATTAGACACTAAGTCCGATGAAGATCCAGTAGTATTTCCCTGGCGATGGATAAATAAATATTATTTATTATTATATTATAATTAGATCATAATATCATATTATTATAATAAATATTATTGACAACGACAGAGAATTTAGTACGAAATCATACGTCATGAATGGCGAAAATTTAGGACCACGAAAGATTGTCTGGCAATCAGTATCCCAGACGAATAATATAAATAATATAAATAATATTTGTCATCGCCTTTGGAAAGGAGATTGCCCTAACGCCCCCGAAGTAGAATTTTGTACAATTTCACGCTGAAGATTTATTACACAGAAGTGCAATCATCATTGTTACCTGAAAGTCACAAAGTGAATTTATTGTAATAAAATTGTTTAAACTGGAAATTTTTGTTCTCATCTGCATATATAGGTTATTGATTTTCCTTTTTATTTAAATGTTTTTAAATTTTAAAAAGAACTCGGCCCATAGAGGGTTAAATCATCGATGTCGTTCGCTTTCCTTCTCTGTTGATATTATTATGGTAAGATATCAAACGTATAGATTATTTTGTAATCTTATTTACTTTTTAATTATCTTAATTATTTTGTAAAAAAATTACAAAATAATCTTTTATATGTTATGTTTTTATAGACGTTACACTGGCCAATTTTCAATCATGCACTCGAAGATTCAATTTCAGTTACAGTAAATACGTCATTAACCCTTCTTGGGTGGTATTATTATTGTATATTTTTACAGTTTTAAGAGACCTTAGAAACACCATGCAATGCCTGTGAAGTGCTTGATAATTATGCGGCGAGTCTACTTGCGAACGTAGCAGCGTAAATTAACATGTACGCGTTAAGCTTATGGAAATAGGATTATGGAAATTTTAGGTATAGAGATGCTTGTTTAATGTATATTATTTTTATTTTCGTCGAGTAAGAGTAGTCGAATTACGAGTAAGAGTTATCACGCATAATAGTTTCTACAAGTGATGTATTTGTAACATTTTCTGGTATTTTTCTTTGGTTTTTGATTCGTTAATATACAGAACAGATGGCCTGCGATGAGTAAGATACAAAACATCGAACTATATATTTCTTTATTCAATTTTAAGAAATGTAACGTTTATCAAGACCGATCGCTTGACTGGAATTAGACGAAGCGTCTGTAGGTTTAGCGTTAATTAGTATGCCATGCTGAGTATCGACGTCTTTAATTAAAGTCTCTGCGTCTGCATTGAAACTGTACGTGAATGCAGTTATGCAAGCGAGTTATCGATAAATCGACGTTAATTGCCATCTGGTTTAACCTAGTGAAGGCGAGAAACACTTGGACCTCGGTACACGGTCGCTTAACGTCCACTTTTCATCTTTCGAGTATTAAAATTCACTTGCAAACACCAACAATAATTACAACCAATCTAATTACAAACGTCGATGTTTGTTAGTCTCATCACGGGAGTGAATCATTTATAATATAATTTTATGTATAATATGTATATAATTAATAATTGGAAATTCCTTGTACTTATCATTACACTGATTAATTTCCAAACAACTATGTGAAATTGTAATTTATTAACTTCTTTTTTATTATCAATGATATTCTATATATTTTTGGAAATCTCTAGAATAGATAGAGTACAAAAAGAATAGCTATTTGTGTAAGTTGCGAAATCAACAAGAAAAAACAACAAATCGATAGAAATATAGAAGCAATAAGTATTCGCACAATTGTTAAATTTTTAAAACATCATAATAAAAAAAAACCGAAATTTACATTTATTTATAAATAATTAATACTTTGTAGGACTTCCTTTTGATTTTATAATTGCTGCTATTCTTCTAGGTATTAAATTAACTAAATGTCGATATCATTTGGTGTGGGATCTTCTTCTATATCTCTATTAGAGCATTTTTTAAGACTTCTTTATTAGAAATTCGATGTTTTCGAATTCGTATAAAGCAATAAACTGACCTGTTTATGTTACAAACTCTAAACTATAAATGATTCGTCATAAAAACCATACAAATACTTATTATTTCTATATTTTTGCCGATTTTTCATATTTTCTTGTTAATTTCGGAAATTAAGTAAACTAGTAATTATTCTTTGGACTATATCTATTCTAGAGATTTCCGGGAACATGTAGAATATCATTGATATATAAAATATAGAGTATAGAATATATAGAATATATGTAGAATATTATAAAAAAAGAATTTAATAAGGTACAATTTCACATAAAAGTTTTTTGGGAAACTGATCGATGTAAAAATTACACTCTACACCAACTGTATATCGAATTTATCGCGATAAAAAATATCCTCGCATGTAATTTGCTCTCTATATCGTGCATATCGATTGCATAGAAAATGTTTGGACGATAGAGGAGAATAGAGCAGCTTCTAGACTCTAGACGGTTCGTCTGCATTCCTCGACGTCCACGACGCGATGTCCACGTCGTCGTGGCATTTCCTGGTAACCCATTGTGGGGCGTCGAAGGAATCGAGTAAATTGGCTGAATTGTTAGGTCCGAGAATTGTGGCACGTCGATTTAGACGCGAGATAGACTCGCTCGAATTACAACATAGAATGGCTTGGACAACGTACTGTTTCCATGCACAATGCGCCCGGATCTTCCTGGACATTGATACTTCCGCGCAGACTATTCTGCCTATAAAGATCTTCTTAGAATGTAATGAAAATTAACGGACATTACGGATCATCGATAACTCGCAAAGTATAAATTTGCAGTATTAGTTATTATTCGACGATTTCTTAATCTGCACTGTCTCCGAATTGAGTAAAAAGCTCGAGAGGGCGTTCTGCTTGTCCTTACATGTTGGTTGACTCGGAAATGTTGCGACGAAAAGTGCGACGGATAATACGAACAATAACACCCTCGCGGCCATAACTACGAAAGTGAAAAGTTTCGCACAGCCGACAGATGGTTCCAACATGTGCAGCGAGTTGCAGGATACTAAAAAGAAGTTCGACGTTCGCATTGCCACGATAAAAATGGTGCAAATTACTGTCCTTTGTTTTAAAGTTGATTTCTTCTTTGAGTATAGGAAATCGTGCTTGGATCTTGTGTCAATAAATTACCAATCCACGGACTATTTTTGTTAAATGCATGTATTAATTAAAAGAAAAAAAAAATTACAATCTCTTACAGAGAAGAAAAAATACATATATATGTGCACAGAGTGTCTATAGCTAAGTCCGGAGAAACCAGAGAATCAATTCTACAACTAATTTTCAACAAAAAATTCCTCTTAGACATTTCTCTAAATACCTCTTAATTTAGAAATATTTTCACTTTTAATTTTTTTTTTTTTTTGTATTATCGACTTTACATTCTTTAACGTCATAACTCCATAAACTTACAGTGCAAAATTAAAACTGAATATATCATTCGAAAGAGCGTTAAATTTCCAATCCCCATGATGCCAAATCAAAGTTTATTACTTAGATTTAACAGGTGAAAAATTAGGTCAAACTTTAACTTGTGACAATTTCTAAAAATTTCACTTTTCCTTAAATGCATAGTTATTTGGAGGACACTTCTCGAGAAAAACTTCCTGGAAGTCTCAGCTTTTCAATGGTATACTCAAAAAAAATTTTACAATGATATTTTAGGGCGAACATGACGTTTGATGAATGCAGAATAACGTGTTTTTAGGTGAAAATAGACATTTTACAAAAAAAATTGGCTTGTAACTTTAAAATTAGCTTGACATCAGATTTAATGTATTTTTTTTATTACAGGTAACCTCCTAATTAGGAAAAAAACTGGTTTTTTCGACACGTCAAGCCTCTTCCATCCGTGTGTTGAGCCTCAGTGCGAGGTGAATAATTGTTTTTGAACGTACATCCATAGAATTTTCATTTTTAGAAATTATATAATCAAAATGTACCTCGGTGTGCCGATAAATGGTATGGAGATTGCAACACGATCAATTTAACAAAGCAAAAAATCGATGTTTTCGGAAAAAATTTACCTACTTCGTTCAATAAATTAGAAGTCAATTTAAAAAATAAAATTCAGAACAAATACCAATTTTTATTAAACAATTTAAACTTGACCTAATTTTTCACTTGTCAAATATTTGAAATTAATTTTCGTTTCGGATCGGGGAGATTGGAAAT